TCCCTATCCTGAGCCAAATCAATCCAGTCCGTACCGCCCCGTCCAATCTCCCTAAGATCCATTTGATATTATCCACTTACCTACGTATAAGTCATCGTAGTGGCCCTTTTCTTTCGAATATTTCACCTATATCATATATGCATTCCTCATCTCCTCATTCGTGCTACATGCCTGTCCATCACATCTTTGTCGACTAGATAATTCTAATTATACTTGGAGAAAAGTACAAGTTATGAAGCTTCTCATTGTGCAGTTTTCTCCAACCTGCTGTCACTTCATTTCTTTTCTATCCAAATATTTTTTTCTGCACCCTGTTCTCAACCACCGTCAGTTTACTTTTCTCCCTTAATGTTAGAGACCAAGTTTCATACCCATACAGAACCCTATATTTTTCCACATAGTGATGCTTTTATTTTTCCAGCCCGATAAAATGTTCCAAATCTACCTTTTGAATGATACATAAAATTATTTCAAACACTTGTCATCGGCTGTAGAATGGATTACAGTCCCCTCCTATCTCAATCTTTAATTTATTTATAATTACATTCACATATATCTGTCTTTACTAATCCACAGAAGTTAAACAAAACAAAAAAAAAAGATCTGCAGCAGTTTCTTCCTTTTGTCTGCAGCTGACACCGGTGGGAACTACCATCTTCCAGGGTGTTCACGCGAAGGATGTTGATGCAGGCGTAAATGGGCTTGTGGAGTACTTCATTGTGCCAGGTGATGGCATGGGGCTTGGCACGGATGACGGTGTGGGCCGAAACCGGATTAACGTGGCAGACGGATTCGGTTACTTTTCCATCAACCTGCCACACCAAGGTCAGGTCACCGTCAACAGGAGTCTCGACTTCGAGCGAACGCAGCGCTATCTTGTCACTATCGTAGCATCGGTAAGAACTATAATTTACTGAACTATTTTGCTATAACAATATATCTTTCATTTCAAGGATACTGAGGAATGAATCTAGAACTGTGAATTATCAACAAATTAACAATACAAATCAACTGAATTGTTTTTATTAAAAGGATCGTATTTGTTCTAAATTAAATTTGGTACTTTGTTAATTTTTAGCTTTATATTAAGAACATTTAGTGGAACCAAAAAAGGAGCAACAACAAGACAGGTTTTTATATTTCACAAAATTTTAGCTAAGTCAATTCTGTAAAGATAGTTTATGGAGTCTGAAAGATATAGTGAAAGTTTTACACTGTAAGGTTGAAGTATTTGAACCTCAAATATTAGGTAAGAACTACAGTTTTACTGTTGTTTTATGGATTGTGTAAATTGGGTTCTCGCCTAAGAGAAAGGATAGATATTGAAAATATTTCTGAACAGGATTCTGAAGAGAATATTTGGATCTAAAGGAGAATAAACACGAAGTTGGGAACGTTGCGTAGCGATGAGCTGCACTTCTTGCTTCATTCTCCAAATATCATTAGAGTGACCGAGAAAGAAATTAAGAGCCGGTTAGGCTATGTAACATGCATTGGAGATAAGATAAATTAGTCCAAAATTGTAGTAGGAGAACCCCAGGAGAAGAGAACGCTTAGAGATCTAAAGCGATTTGGAGTTCAGCATTAAGAAGTTTCAGAACAGACAGTTTAATGGTCCTGGAGGTCTTCATTTTTCGTGGACCAGCATGACATACGCGTGTTCTCTCTATTCCACTTGGTGATTCTTGAGTAGTAAACACGTAAAAACTGATACCAGAATTTAGAACTGTTGAAAGTATTCTAACCAGTTAATCCCTACTCTTTGTATATATGTATTGACACTTATTCTCAAAATCTTTAATTATAATTTCCTCTTTGAGAAGCAGCCGCTTTGCTTTATTGCAAAGCAAGCTTACTCCTCTGGTATACGCCTGACATGAAACTGGACTGTGCTCTGGTCTCTGACATCAGATTTGTCTCAGAAAATAATGAGGTATATAAGGGAGACGCCGGTCACGGTAGCCGAGCGGTCTAAGGCATGTACTTCTTCGCTCGCTTGGAAACCGGGATCGTGGGTTCGAATCCCACTCAGGGCATGGATGTTTAGTTTGTGTGTGTGCGATTTTCTGTGTTTGTATACAGGTAGAAGCCTTGTGACGAGCTGATCACCCGCCCAAGGAGTCCTACTGAATGTGTAAGATCTAGAAAAACCGAAGTGAACGGAGAAGTTCATGGAGGTAGGCCTAGGCCCACTGGGGCTGTAGTGCCAAGGAAAAAAATATATAAGGAAGACTTGTTCTGCGAGTTTTTAATCATCAATGTTATTTAATTTTCTCGATTACCTTGGGCTTGCCGTTTGTCTGTGATTGATTGACCAAATATTAATTTACGCAACTAATTTTCTTCAAGGACATTGGCATTGGCCAAGTAATAAGTTATACTTTTGCTACCCCGGTACCCCATATTGACGGACAACATAAGAGCGACAGGTGTGGAAATATAACGCAAGCGAATCCCTTAACCAACTGAGAACTTCTTAGATTTGGGATTGTTTATTTTTTTATATTCAATGGGAAAACTTCTACTAAATTTTATCAAGACTTTTCAACCCACAAATACTCGTATAGCAAACACTTTTCTCATGTCACCAATGATTTGCTAATCGGAAGTCGGAAATTCGCACGCCTTAAGTTCAAATTTTGGCATCGTGAGAATATTTAAAGAAATGTGAATGTATTTAACTGACAAATATAACGTCCACATAAATATGAAGAAAAAGAAAATAATAAAAAATTGCAGTAGATTATGACGTATATTTTAAGTCATCCATATACAACAATAAAACAATATAAATATTAACTATATTTATATTACACAGTCCCTCAACAGTGCAACAAATTGTTCTTTCTGTCTTTCACTTTCAATTTCACTTTCGACACAATATGTTTCGGCCCTAAATGGCCATCTTCAGGTGCCTTACTATAATAAACTTGCTACACTGCACTAATATTGTTCATTCAATACATATGTAACTGTACTCTTCATATTCAAACCGTCATACTCGTGGGCTAACTCACATACGCTAAAATAGCACATGCTGTTGTTCACTTAATTTAAATTAAAATCTACTAAAATTTTCTACCTTTTTCTTTAAATTTTGTAAAATTCTTATTATACCTCACAAGGGGCGTCGTCCACTTGTTTAGGTCTGTATCCTTTTCTTTCAGATGTTATATTGCGGCAGCCTGTTTTTTTATTCGTTAGCCCGTTGTTATGTTACTTCTGCAATATATGCGTTTTTCCTTCTAGCAGCGTGTGGTGTTGTCATCACTTCACCCTTAGTCCAATATCCCTGACATACACGTATTTCGAATCATTTTTAGTTCGTCTTCAGCGACCAACACGTCGGGTGCTGCCCGGGTTCGATCCCGGTTCTGGTCAAGTGGGATTTATGGTGGACAAGTGGCGCTGGAGCAGGTTTTCTCCGAGTAGTTCGGTTTCCCCTGCCAATCTTCATTACACCAAATTCTCCATCATCATAATCACCCGGGGCAGGCTACAATAGGCCAATCAGTGGCCACCGTGCCGAGTGTACTCAGTTGGACTCCAGCCCCCACTAAGCGAATTAAAAAATGTAACATGTCGGGTGAATTTGATTAAAGGTCATTATTTATGCAGTTTTTCTTCAGTTGTATTTTATTTGCATAAAATATTTGATACTTTATGTCAACATAACTGAATGTATCCAAATATGAAATTAAATTACAGTACATCTCATTCAACTGTGAGGGAATATTTAAGCAATACTGACTCTCCGTACCAATTCTGTAAAATAGTGGCTAATTTGTCGCCCAGAACATCGATGGATTGCAAAGTATATATTCATTAGTTTGCGGTTAATTGTGAAATCATGAAAGTATCTTGCATATTTTTCGATATCGATTCGTTGTTCATACGTCCAGAAGATGTAAGTTGTGACCTATGACTTACACTTTCCATTTACTATATTGATGACAAATTATAGGGAGCAGAGTAATAACGGTCATATGTTTCACTTAACTGAGTTTTACAGTAATATGTCAATTAGATGGCCGGTCACGGTAGCCGAACGGTCTAAGGCATGCACTGTCTTCGCTCGCTCGGAAGCCGGGATCGTGGGTTCGAATCCCACTCAGGGCATGGATGTTTGTGTGCGTTTTTCTGTGTTTGTCTACAGGTAGAGGCCTTGCGAGGAGCTGATCACTCGCCCAAGGAGTCATACCGAATGTGTAAGATCTAGTAAAGCGAAGTGAAACGGAGAGTTTCATGGAGGTAGGCCTAGGCCCAAATTGGGGCTGTAGCACCACAGAAAAAAATGTCAATTTGATGGGGGCACGCGGTAGCGTAGTTGGATGAGCCACTATGCTCCAAACCGTAAGGTCGCGAGTTCGAGTACCGATGAGGTGGATTTTTCAATTGACCTAAGCCTAAGCCGCATTATGGCCCTGGGTTCGATTCAGCCTCTAACACAAATGAGTACCAGGAATCTTCCTGGGGAGTAAGGGGCGGCCGGCGCGTAAGGCTGACAACCTTACAGCCATCTGCGAGCCGATTTTCTAGATAATGTGGGACCCTCAACGCCTCACTACCCTATGGGCCTCCATGGCCTGTTACAGGGATAGCTTTCATCTTTTTTTTACCTTTTATGTCAATTAGATGTTAGTACAGTATGCGCTATCGCAGAAATGCCGGGAGGATGCACGCTATTATACTTTCATTGACCTGTAATGGTACTCGTGTGATTGACCCTGGTCAGTCAGAACGGTTGGAACAAGCGGCTACGTACAGAGACGATGGTCCAACCAGACATTTCATGGACAAACGCATGTGAACGATCGAAGTCACACATTGGACACAATGATGAGCTCACGTTTCACAAACAGGAAAAAGCAGGGATGTCCTTGGCATGACGTCACACCAGTAGACCTCTGCTAAAACGTGTCTATCGGCTTGCAATTAAACGAAAAGCAATTGTACAGGTAAACACGTAAGTACGTCACGTGACTTAAAATAGTCGCTGCATATGTTAGCGAGGCTCACGCTAACACAGTCAGCCACACAGGATCTACGTATGACCAATTCCAAGTTCGGATCTTTCATTGGTTGTATTTCGCTCTTCCCTTCTGTGAACACACAGAACGGAACTGACCAGTTGGAAAAATGTACTTCAACTGTGTACACCAGCAGATAATAACATGCGTGGAAAAGTGTGTGATTTCAAGAAAAGGTCGTCATTGAAGCGTGTTCACTTAAATCGACAGATGCAGAAACAAAAGTGAAGTAAAAAACTCGTGAATTATATTCTGTGTAACGCTTTCTGTTGTATACTCGAACGTTTCTGCTGAGAGCAATTTACTACGTCAAATGTGTTGTCGATTTTTTGTGACGTAATTGTGGTCGTGATTTTAATTCTTATTTGCATTGTAAGTTTAAATTATTCCGTGTGTCTTTATCATGACATCTGTGAGAGTATATCCAGCATTTCTAAGAATCGGATGTGATTATTGTTTTGTTGGTTAAGCAACGTTTTCTAGGACTATTTTCTCCTTCCAGTCTCATAAATTAATTTCAGTAAAAGTAAAGCCGTCCTTGCGCTTAATTAATTTAGCTCTACGCCATGAAGACGTATGGGGGAGTGGATGTAGAGATCCGCGTATTCTTGACCTCGGCACTAGTTGGAGGTGAGCAGTGAGTTTCACGTCCCAACCGCTTTACCCTCGGGGAAAGTCCCCCTGATTCTCATTGGATAGCATGCTGGGCGGGCCCCAGAGCCAGCGTGGACGATATGGGGAAGTGAAAATTCTCACCCACCACCGGGACTAATACTCCGACCCCCTGGCCGTCCACACGTTAGCCAGTCGCTATATCGACTAAATTCATTTCAGTAAAGTTGCTTATATTTAACCTGTTGACACTTACCCCTTACTGCCACATCAGTGAGTAATGCAGGTATGTTTGTGGTCCAGGGCATGCATATGACAGAGTTGTTAGCTTTTCTAAATCCACATGTTCTCGGATGTCCGTCTCTTTCTTTCAGCATATATCTGGAATAAATATGGTATTGGAAACTTCCACCAAATTTTGAACTCAAAATAATATTTATTGATCATATTGGTTATTTCAAAATAATGCTGTACGTGGAGCTATAAGTACTAATAACGTTATAAATATGGAATTATTTCAGAAAATAATTTAAACAGTTCTCTATTATCAATGTAAGGATCATTTAATGTCTTTAATATTTTCATTTCTTTCATCGATGCTGTAGTTCTATTTTATATGCAGTTAAAAGGCGAAATCAAATAGTTGTATAATTATTAATCATTACTTTGTCTTGAAAAAATATATATAAAAAGATCTTCAAATGCGAAAATTTTTGTTTAAACCCTGCCAATTTTTAGTATGCAGCAACTTGCACGTATGGGATGTTAAGTCTATAACTCCTTAAGAAAATTGAGACAGAACTCTAACAAATTACTTTATATACTTCGCTGTTTACAGGCAAAAATTCCTGAATTCAGTCATTTACTTTTTTAGTCCTGTTCAATCTTTCTAATGCTCTCCCAAGTAATGAAGGCAAGTTGCTCTTCTTTCTTATTACAACTTCGACCGAGGGAGCAGGGCTGGAATAATAATAACTTTTTTGCTTTTACACTAGGGTGAGGCAGTTAGGGTATGGTTTAATTTTTAGGAACTCTTCTTATTAAATAAGTGCAACGGACGGTAAGCGGAGAAATACTGAAAGCGACGTCAAGGATAATAGTGATTATATGTGTTCGCAGGTTCTATTCCTAACCGTGTGGCAGTTATACATCTGTGATTACGGGAAAGTCTGGTGGCGAGTGTAGTTTATAATATTTGATGAAATACTTAACAATTGTATGGAAATTTAGGCGTGCACGAATCTCACAAGAATGAAACGTGAAGAGACTTGTGGCACAAAGCTGAGTCCTAAGGTCATACATGAAGTGAAATAGATTGTATATCATAAATTAAATTGACTATTGTCGTTGAACGAAGAGATTTACAAACTACCAAATGAGATCAGTTGCCTGATATTACCCTTTGTGGTGCTCGAGTGTTGCTTTCTTCAGTGTGAGATGTGAGATGTGGGACTACTTATGTACTGTACTGTACATGGAGAAGCAGACTACGATGGGCATTCTGATTGTATCTCTGGTTATTCTCCTCGGCAGCGTCATGAGAGCTGTACCAGTTTCATCTGAGAATGCTGTAAGTTGTGGTAAACAAAGCCCAGATATAATTTTAACTCTCATCAGAAAACTCTTCTCTTTTAACACAGGCAAGTGTCTGTCACAAACAGTTTAAATTGCCCAAACAAAGTTATACATTGTCCTGGAGACGTGTTTGGTGCAGTGGATTGTTGATAAATAAGCTGTTGTAACACCTTATTTTAGCGAAGATCGGGAAAGGCGATATTCAATGTACATGGTCGTGTATAAGAGTCCATCTGATTAGGTACATAGTTTGTTGTAATGTCGATTGTTGCTAATGTGACAACGAGGAATGTATGTTTGTGGCTATGCATCACGCCACAGGACCCGTAGAAGAATGTCTCTATTAACCATCAGAGATAAGTAGTCGACATCCGACCTCAGAAACTACTCCTGGTTTTCTTGTGCCATGGTGGACTCCATAGAAATCTTGGTTAAAGCAGGCGAAAAGAAAATTTACGACGTTCCATAATCGGGGAATCAATTTCGTCTATTTTGAGAGTAATTTAATGACTGGAGGAACATTTCAAAACAATAACTGGGGGAGATGTTATCTGTTTCAAGGAAATCCTGCGAGACTCCTTTGCAAATCAGGGTTTCCCTCTTTCCCAGACCAACCAAAGCTGGCAGCTTCCAAGTTTTGTATTTCTTAATTTCTTCAATGTATATTTCACTATTCTTCTTCAACAACATGCGTTATACGGTCGAATAGTAGGACAGCTGTGGATGATGAAGTGGAATAGATATTGAGTGATGCTATCGAGGTATATTTTGAGAATAAATTCTAGCACTTGTCTTCAAAAACCAAGGTGTACCACTGTATGCCTCAATCATAATCCTGTCTGTGGCTAGGAAATCCAACCAGGACCCTCAGAATACGAACGTGTCATATAATTTATTGTTGTGTAATGAAGTAGTTGCAGTAGAAACTTGCTTTATAAGTGGCACGAATTTGAACATGTAGGGCAGAGACGCGAGCCCCTGAGAACTTTTCCGCCACGCGAAAATTGCGACCATCAGGTTGGCAACACCTATCATAGCGAAAGGCTGGACTGTTGCAGGTTCAGTCATTCCAAATCAGGTGTAGGCCTACATGCTACAGAAGAATGCCCTTCCGGTTACGAATATAGGAAGTGTGAGACGAATTGTATTAGAAAGGGCCAAAGTGGTGACTTTTTTATATACAAGCTCTTCAAGCCTACGAAGTGACATTAACCACAGATTTTAGAAAGCGTGAAATTCTCGCCCTCTGGTATCTCGACCTTACCAATCGCCGTTCTTAATGGTTCGGTTATTTGTCGCTGCTGTCCACATGGTCTCGGTGGAAAATGCAAAGGAAATAAGAAACGCAAGATTCAAAATACTTGAGACTGAGAAATATGAAATAAGCAGAGTTTTTTACATATAAGAAAAATAGGTCTATTAAAAAAAATCAGTATTAAAAAATTATACATCATAAGACTGTCATATATCTCTGCCTTAATTCTAAGTTGTATCATTTATTTAATTCTCTTGATATTGGATTTTATCTACATTTTCTTTGCATATTTGAGGTATATTCAGCTTCCACTTATCCCTAACCAAAGTGGGGGGTTGAGGGCTCTCCTTGGTTAGAGGTATACTTCAGAATGCTACTGAACCCACATTTCCAGCTATCATAAATATCTTTAGTTCGTTTGTATTTACGGGAATACGCTTCAAACAAGAAGGGTCTTTTCTTGTAAATCAAATCATCTTTTTCTGTGGCATTGTTTTCGAGATGGTTTTACATTCAGTCTCATGACTGTGACGTGTGTGCTTCAGCAAACGTGAAATATACTGCACATAAAAATGGCATGATGTTGTAAATATTTTTAGGAGAGGAGAAACCAGTTCCAATTGGATCATTTTTGTTGGTGCCCAGAGGTCTTTGCTGTGCCCACTCATAAGTACATTTTCATTCTATTGCCATTCACCACTAGTTACGTTTCTTATTCAGTAGAACACAGTGGGCTGCAGTGTAGGTACGCCTGCCACCCATTTGCTACGCTTTCATTTTCAGACAATAAATCTCTGGCATTATAGAAAAAAAGCGTAAAGTCGCTACATATCTGTTTTCAGGAGAAGGAGTTTTAGTCATTTATTCAGTAATGCATATTGTTGTACCACTGGCCCTTTTTAATAGTGAATATTCTGATTCACTTATCACATTTTGATTAGTTTTGACTTCACCATTTTTTTTGTAACATCATGTAAATATACTGCGATGCAAAGTAATTATTAAAAACAGCATGAAGATTTATGGTGGGGTTAAATGTAGCTCCATGCATTCCTAACTTCGTCACTAATGGAGGTGAGCGTTCAGCTTCGCCCACCACTCACCTTACTTCTGGGGAAGAACCCCCGGAGACAATTCGATAGGCTGGGTGTGTCCTAGAGCTGATCTTGACGTAATGACTGGGAAAAGAACCTCTGCTGTTCATCCTATAGATATTTACTGGAGACTGAATCAAAGTAAATGTCCAGCTTATACTAAATTGCAAATCGCCTTTGAGGCAACTTAGGAACAATTATTTTCAGTACATCGAATGTTAATATTTGATATCAGAAATAAACATTTAGAAATTCACAGTACCTGCTGTTCTGTTCGTGCTGCTAATAGGAATCTTTCTGTTTAGCACAAAGAAATGGAAAACATAGACCGTAGGCATGCCCTTTGCTTTGTCGTTCATGCAGCCGAAAATCTAGGTATTTAAGTTAGCACTGCAGTTTTGCATTCAGAATATACCGGGTTAGAAACTCATATCGGACATGGGCTATCTTGACAGAATTTTCATGGCTTTGCTAAATCCTTCCTGGATATTTTCTCGAACAGGAGACGGAAGCTTCTTTCCACATCCCTTCCAATTTCTTATTTACATTCATTCAACACCCTTATGTCATTCGCAAATAAATAATTCTTTTTTAAAAGAACTAAATTTGAGGAAGAAACTAGTGAAATGCTACATTTGGAGCATAGCTCTGTATGGGGCTGAAACATGGACACTTAGGGCAGTAGATCAGAAACATCTGGAAAGTTTCGAAATGTGGTGTTGGAGAAGAATGGAGAAGATCAGTTGGACCGATTATGTGAGAAATGAAGAAGTGTTAATTAGAGTCAGTGAGCAGAGGAATATCCTACATGAAATAAGAAAACGGAAGGCTAATTGGATTGGTCATGTTTTACGCAGAAACTGCCTTCTAAAAGAAGCTATCGAAGGAAAGATAGATGGGCGGATAGAAGTGACAAGAAGACGAGGAAGAAGACGTAAGAAGATGCTGGATGACCTTGGGGACAGAAGAGGATACTGTCATTTGAAGGAGAAAGCTCTAGATCGCATTAAGTGGAGGAATTGTTTTGAAAGAGACTGTGGACCTGTCGTCTTGACAGATTACTGATGATGATGAAGAGCCAATTAGTTTCATATATACATCTTCGTATGGAACTACGTGAATGTAACAAGAAATAACTGGCTCCTTATGTACAAGGTAATTTTAAAACATCAGAATTCCAAAATGGAATAATATATATTGGAACATCATCATCATCATCATCATCATCATCAGTAATCAGTCAGACGACAGGTCCACAGTCTCTTCCAAAACAATTCCTCCACTTAATGCGATCTAGAGCTTTCTCCTTCAAATGACAGTATCCTCTTCTGTCCCCAAGGTCATCCAGCATCTTCTTGCGTCTTCTTCCTCGTCTTCTTGTCACTTCTATCCGCCCCTCTATCTTTCATTCAATAACTTCTTTTAGAAGGCAGTTTCTGCGTAAAACATGAACAATCCAATTAGCCTTCCGTTTTTTTATTTTGTGTAGGATATTCCTCTGCTCATTTCTCACATAAATATTGGAATGTCACAATTTAAATTATTATTTATTATACCTAAAATATTTTGATATTCTTGTTTCGACATTTTTAGGCTGTGAGTATAACAATGTTTAGACATACTCACGTTGTAGTAATTTACAGATGTGTATGATTATTGAGAATATTCTCCCTGAATTAAATTTTCTGTATGGTTGCTTACATTATGATATTCGTATTTATATATTTTATTTCCACAGGAGCATGAAATCAACTGAGATCTTGGGGCCCTCCATAGCTCAAGCGGTTAGTCGCTGGCTTCCCACCGCGGCGGCCCGGGTTCGATCCCGGGTCTGGTCAAGTGGGATTTGTGGTGGACAAAGTGGCGCTGGGGCTGGTTTTCTCCGAGTACTTCGGTTTTCTCTGCCAATCTCCATTCCACCAAATTCTCCATCATCATAATCACCCGGGGCAGGCTACAATAGGCCAATCAGTGGTCGCCGTGCCGAGTAGACCCAGCTGGACTCCACGCCCCACTAAGCGAATTAAGAAAATACTGAGAAGTTAAAAGCATATCTGTCCAGAACCCGTTAAACTAGAACTTAAATATGAAACTACTTCTTTATCATTGTTATGTAAACTCACTCATGGGGCTGAGCCCTTCTTGAGAAGCCTCCAACTGTGCAGCTACTCAAGAACTTCCCAACATTTTATGGAACCCGAAGGTTCATTACCGTTTACACAAGAGCCCTCCAACGGTCCCTATCCTGAGCCAAATCATTCAAACCCATCACATTCTATTTCTCTAAGATTCATTTTAATATTGTCCACTCACCTACGCCTTGGTGTTACCAGTGGTCTCTTTCCATCTGGCTTTCCCACCAGTATCCTACATTCATTCCTTTTCTCCCATATTGTTATGTAAAATTCTCACTGTTATATAAATCACTTAATGTAGCTATGAATTTGTTCGTAGTTCACCACATGCAGAAGTCTCTGGTTCTGATCCCCACAGAAGACCTCTCTTTTGGCTGAGGTTAATCGTGATTTTCCTCACACCGAATTTACCAAACCGTGACTAAAATTTAGAGCTGCATAACTTTTGGAGTAGATTCTGTATGCTAAGTATGTATTGTCGATTCATTAATCTTCCATTAATTATGAGATT